AGATCCAAAGTTTGGACTGTCCAATCTTAGGTCGAATTCCAAAATTTTAGAAACCAATTGATTTTAATAAATTTTAGGATAAATATCTTTTTATCTGAACTGTCTTTAAGCAAATTTTAACGATGTATGTTAGGGTGAAATTGACAAGTGTGACATTCGTGATTTCTTTTCTAGATCCTGATTGATCATTTAATTGCTCACTTGAGTCAAAACTTGAAATCGAAATCAAATTAAATTTGGAGAAGAACAGTATGGATAATTTCAACCTGGATGAATTGATGGACCTGGCAGAGGCATATGTAGGACCGATGGTAGATGCGATCTATCGTCGGCTGATCGAACGAGACTTCGCTCTGGAGGACCCAGAGGTGGTCATGTTGCTGACCGCCCTGATTAACATCTTGGGGCACGACAACCGTGGGGACCGCCCCACGGAAGTCCTGTTGATGGCAGCATATGGAGAAAGAGGAGTACTAGACCGCCCGAACATGAGAGTGATGAGGTGGAGAAACGGGGCTCTCTCAGGGAGTGACTTGGCGAATGAGCCTGGGTTGGGAAGTTCTAGGACTTACCAACCAGGTGAGATGCCAATGCCCTCCAAGCCCAAACCTGGGCTGACGAGAATGCATCAGGAGATGAACAGCGAGGCGACCTCGTCTGGTTCACCACTGAGAGTAGCTGTGCCACCAAAAGGGGCGAAAGTAACACAGAAGGTTCAGACGAACCAAACCATACAAGATCTGGACGAGATGAACGATCAGTTGAGAAGTACGAAGAAGGAGTTAAACGATATGACGAAGACCATGCTGGCGATGGAGGAAGACCGGGACATGTGGAGAAAGTTGTTTGAAGACTGCAACAAAAAGCAGGGTCAAGAGATCGAACGCTTAAGGCAGGAATACAAAGAGCGATCGGAGCAGGTGGCGTTGACGACGTCCATTGAGAAAGTGATACCTGCAAGGGATATTCCTCGTGGGCAGTCCCCGATGGAGCTCTTGACACCTCGAGAAATGAGTCAAACAACGGAGACACGGCTTCCAGCAGAGACGAACCGAGTAACAATCCCGGATCCTAGTGACACCTTGGGTGATCCCGTCGTAGAACAGACAGTGAGAAAACTGATAGAGACCGCTGGACGATTGGTCGCTGACAAGAATGCACCAGGTTCCGGGGTGACTGCACCCTATGGAACGATTGACGATACGGGCAGAGTACAACTCTCCCAGACAATAATCAGACAAGGGATAAGTGACGTGACGCCACTCAGGGGGAGTTCGAAGATCACAGAGAGAAAAGTAAGGAAGATGCCAGCGAAGAAAGTGTCTCGTGTAATGGACGTGCAGAAGAATAATCAATTAAAGTATAATTTCACGGGAGTTCCGGAGACAGATCCGAGAGCCTGCTTCAATCGAGCTACCTGGAGCCCGGCTGTGAACCTGCAGCAACCACCACTCGGGACATCTCACCTGATATTGGGAGACAGCTTAGTCCGAGTGCTAACGAATTTGAGGACCTCATGGGTCACCACGGTGATGGCCTTTGGAGGCGCGACAATTGCCCAATTATACCGGATGGTGGAGCTGATGAATCCCGGGAGGATACCCAGTGTGATGATATTAGTTGGGACGAATGATATCTCCAGAAGACTGGGTCAAACCTGGTAGCTGTCTGGCGGAAGTCTGTGGACTAGAGGGTCACGTTTGTGGAAGTCTAGACTGTGTGAAAACCCTGGAGAAACAACACAAGCAGTTGACGGTATTGTTTGGAAATGTAGTGATGAAAGCAAGAACGGAAACGGAACTGATAGCAGATTGCCATGGAGGAACCGATGTGAATCTAGTGACAGCACTAGGATTCTACAGCATGTTTGGTTCTTTAGAGTCACTATTGAATCTAGAACAGAAACATGAGGTGGTCACAGCCATCAGCGTAGAAGTATTCCCAGGAGTTCTGCAGACTGAGCAGAAGTATATAGGAAAATGGAGGGAAGCAATCGAAACGGAGATGAACATCAGACACAGCGAAACTTATTGTAGACCATCAGGAGCACGATATTTGGTGGGTTCAACGTTGGCTCCAATGTGCAAGAGCAGATACCCTGTACATTTCGTGGCTGTGGACGTGAAGAGTACAAGAACGATCGTGGATCAAGCTTTCTCAGTGCCAAAGTGCGTGAGATTGGCGAGAATGTCTGAAAAGTCTTACGAGTTACTATGTAAGATGTTCTCAGCAGTTCCAGAAAGAACCAAAGAGGAGTTGGAGTCAATACTAGGAAAGAAGTTCATGGGATATGTGAGCGGGAACTTCAGTGACTTTGAAAAACAGAAACAGAGAGGATCAACTGTCACAGATTACAATGCAGTAGATGAGAATGATGAGATCCACCGAGTGATGATGGAAGTGGAGCCATTGCTGGAAGCTTCGGGAAAACGGAATTGGAGGAGCATCATGTTGACACATGACGAGTTTCCTTGCCACTGCTTGCTGCAGACCTGGTGGTATCCCAAGCGTAGTAATCTGGTGTTGATCTGGGACTCTGGAGAGCTGCTCTCCATGGGTTTACCAGATTCATCACAGCCCATAACAATAGTGATAGTGGGAGTTATGATGGCGATACGATGGCTGGAAGCTCATGTGAGAGAAAATAATAGACAGGAGGCACCGACGAGAGAACAATTGCAGAAATTAGATTGTCTAAAAGATTTAGATCTTTTTGAGACAATGTGCAAAGTTCTAAACATTCCGATGGAAGTGAAGAAGATATGGGCAAGAAAACGATTGATGCCATGGTTCAGAGCTAACATGACTGCATGGTTGTACGAGTATGCGAAAAAGCATATGTCGAAACATGGCAGAGTGTACAGTGAATATCAGCTGGACATTGGGGCAGGAGCTTTCAAGCGAGCTTTCGTGACCCATCGGAATGCAGTGACCACCGCTGTGAAAAGAATTTCCAGGACGAGCGAGCGTAGTGGAAATGAGAAGGCAGAGATGCTGAAAGAAGATTTGGAAAGAAACGTGGCGTTGTGTCTCCACAACAGCTTCTGTAGAAACAGAGAATCAAACGTGGATCCCCTACCTTGCTGTAAACAGAGGGTGGAAGAGCAGAAGTGTTGGAGGACGGCTTCCAACAGCGTCAGGATAGTCAATGACGTGCTACAAGACACGGAGACCGAGAGTGCAGAGTCAGCGTCACAGGAGGAGGAAATGGAGCATTGATGAATGGTCGAGAAAACAAGAGGCAACAAGAAAGAAAATTAGAAGAATTTAGAAGTTTTAGAACTTCTAAACGACGAAAAAAGAAGAGAACAAAGGGATGATGAAGAAAAGTTAAAACTCAAAATTGTTTTTTGTGTGTGAAAAACTCAAGTGAGAAACCAAGCAACCAAGTTGTAATTGAAAACTGAAACATTTAAGTTGAGTTTGGAAATTGTTGCATTTATAAATTTGCATTTTGGTTTTAGTTGAAGTGGCTTTAGAGACACTCACTTATTATTTATTTAGAGAGGCTTGAGGGAAGAGTATATTTAAATATTCCAGCCTGCATGATTGTTTTTAATTACTTAGGAAGACTGATCACTTTGTGGTGACATGAAAAACTTGAGTAACTTCTTGAGAAGGGAGGTTGTTGCATTGTTCTTTCTAACCACAAAGTTTCTTAGTTTTAATATTCAGGACAATAAACAAGCAAGATTTCCGAAGGGAAGGAGCATAGTAGGATAATTTTAGCTTGTTGGTTGGCAGGACTGTCCTGCAAGCCAACACCTTTTAAATCTAGGAGAAAAAAGTTTCAATCGGGATATTGACACTGGAAGTCAGAAAATATGTTTTATCTTAAGTCATATCCTCAATGTGCAGATTAATGAAAGAATTTGAAGGCTATAGTGATGTAGTATGATGCCATTTATATTCTGCAGTGAGTCGATGTGACGTAGGTAAAAGTAATTTCGTGCATTTTGTAAATTCTGTTCGATGACACTGTAACCATTTAGAACATTGCGCGATTCAATGAGGACATTGACCGGACTGTCCGGGGAGTATGTGACATTCGACCAGAATGGCCAAAATGCAGTCTCTGCAGAATTCGGTATTTTAGCAGCAAGCCTTCCGAATTGGCGATTTAGAACGGATAAGGACGTTATTTGAACGATTAGCCAAACGGTGAAGGCTAGAAGATTCTGGAATTCTAATTTTTAAAAATTCGAATTATGACGTCATATTTCTGAGAAACGTCAGAGACGGCCATTTTAGCTAAAATAGCAGAAAGAAACAGAACAACTTTATCTGCGATTACGAACAGTACGAAAATCGAGACTAAAAAACAACAACGAACTACCGAACAGCAGAGGACGTTCCGAGTTGCAACTATTGTGCTGTTACAATAGTTGCAAGGCCGTTGCGAGCAACGGTGAAGGGTAAAACCCAGCCTTCCGAGTTATTGTGAACTGGATATTAAGAAGCTTGATTCACCGGATTCAAGAATCCGGAAGGGTCTCGGGACGTGGACTTTTATGAACTTATATTGAATTTTAGCATCCGTCATGTCCTGACTTGAATTTAATTAAGATCTTAATTCGTTTTGACAAGAATGAGGAGCTAGAAGTAGGGGGGAAAGGGTTGATCCATCTTCGATGGAGATGATGATTTTTATCTACTGAACAAAAATAATAGTAATATGATAAGTAGTAGCCCTGTTTTTAGGAGTGACCTCGTGGTCTGGGGATACAGAGACCCAGCCATGAGCTCACTAATTTTGCATGTAATTCAGTTAATTTGAGCGTTCTGGTCGAAGCCGGAGAACAGTAACGTTTTTGTCAGCCTGATGTAAGAAAGACCACCGAAAAGTACTGGCTTGGTAGAGACGGTGAAAAACATGCAAAGCTCTGTTTAGACGCTAGCCAGTCGTCTTAAGACTTAGTTTTGTTATCCGTCGATATGTATCTTCCGGGCGAATGTTACATGTATTGTTGAATCGGATTGTTTTTGCCGTTTTTTAGTTGTAAATGACAAGTTACTGAGCGTTTCAAAAGATCAATGGCTGCAAAATTTGATCCACCCGCAGGCCTGAAATGCAGAAGCACAGAAGTCAATGGCTCTCAGTGTGCTTTTTATGGAAGTGTGGCCTGGAGCGGTTATTGTTCTAAATGCTACAAAATTTATGTGACAGCTTCTATTGACGAATCTGTTGTGAACACTAACAAATGGGGTTCGAAAGGTAACGCGACTGGTGGTGCATTACGGAAGCCCGAATTAATCCGTGATGTGGGTGAAAAATTTCAACAACCTGCCAACAAAATCAAAGAAATTGCACAAACGCAAGCGGAACAACTTAAGTTAAGACTTAAGTCTCTGAAATTTGGCAACCAGGGTTAGTTTACTTGCTCATAACACAACATTCAATATATATAATTTTATATAAACACATAGCAGTTTTGCGGTTCCAAACATGTCGTCTGCTTTAGGATCCAAAGTTTACAAAGAATGTGATCAACTGATAGAGCAATGCCATAAATCTCAGTTCACATTAGAAGAACTCCAGAAATCGATTCAGCTTTTTTATCGCAACTTAGATTCACTTCTAGGAAATAGTCAAACCGACGAGACGGACCAAAAAGAAGTCATCCAATCTTTTGAAGACTATCTCTCAACTAGGCTCCATGGGTATTTCTTCTCCAAGTTCCCTCAACTCGAAGAAGCAGACAAACTTTTGCAGAAACGGATATCGTGAGTTAAATCAGCATTTTTATGCGATTTGCTAATAATTAGTAGTTGGTCTGAGATCGAGAATATTTAATTTTTAGCTATTTTTATTAAAAATCATATTATCATATCCTTTCTACGGCTGCTGAAGCAACATCCATGCATGTGACGACTTGTTGACTATAGGCTTTAAACTAATTTCTTTTGGACTATTGAAACCAATTGAAAAACTTTTTGACGTATTATAGTAAAAGTAATTGAGTTCCAAAGTATTCAACTGCCTTTTTTGGTCAACCAGCACGGAGGCCTAACCGGGAGGTTAATTATTTAGGTTGACATGAGCGCATATATTCAGCGCCCTTTAAGCTATGACTTACTTGCAAGAGCTCACCCTACAAATTGCTGGACACCATCACTACCGGAGCGCCACAATGCCACAGAACTTTCTCAGAACTTTTGATGTGCAATTTTTCTAAGAACTTTTGATGTGCATTTTTAGGAACTTTTTTTGGAAGTTTTTTTTGCATATATATTCTTCACAAGAAATAAATGAATGAAGCTTCGTTACACTTTTTTTACTCGCCAAAGAAGTTTGAGCAGCAGATTTGTACGCTACGCTAGCCAAATCGTTTGAAATCATAATTTTTCCGTGCGGAAACTTTGTCTGAAGGTTTCTTCTGGTCGGCGCTTCAGCCTAACTTATTAATACAGCAAGTTTCAGCTACTCATTTTGTCTATGTAGCGTAAAGGTAACGTCCATGCATGGTACCGCTGCTCGAATAAAAGTGCTAATTTGGTGGAATTTTTGGTATATTTCAATTTAATCATTTGAATTTGATTAAGCACTTAAAATTTAATGGCATATAGTTATGCTTTATTTTTTAGCTAGTGTCAGGTTACCTTGTTCTCATAAACGAATACCGCTATTCAAAAAATGGTACCAAAGGAAAACCCGTCTGCTCTTCTATGTGCCTGCATGTTTCGCTAGTCTCTTATCATTTTACCTCACGTTCTACGGCCTTCGAAAGTTCAGTAGGGGGCTTTTTGGCTTTGTTTTGATTTTTTCATTTTCTCAAATTTTAATTGCACAAATCTGAGATGAAGGTTTCAATCAAAAGAACAAATTATGGGTATCTCTTCTTTTCAAGTGGCTGTTCCTTAAAATTGGTAGAAAAAAGTAACGGTCTTAATCAAGCCCACGTTGTTAATGGCGTAGAAAATGTCAAATTTTTGAAATTTTATCCCTTTTTTGGAAAGGTTTTCTTTTTTTCTCCAAAAATTAACCTGCTAGTTCTGAGGCTATAGTTCATTTTAAAAAGCATGGTGCTTAGATTTCCCCAGCTTTATCTGTTTTTTCCAATGTAATTGTAGAAAAGATGATATGGACTTCGGAAAAATTCCTTTTTAAATTTCGAACGTCTTTTAAGAAGTTTCGACCTTGTTGTCGAAAACTACCAGCTAGATCTGATATTAAGGGTTCAATCTAAAACTTTAGATCGCGAAAATTTTCAATCTAAAAATCAGGGTGTGGGAAGCAGAGCCTATTCTCATGCTTTAGTTGAAAATTTTTTTTTATATATAGGAAAAGTCAAATTTTTGATTGATTTTTGGAATTTTTTTCACTTGTTCTATTTTTTGAAACTGCCCCGGCAAATCTGAAATAAACTTTAATTGAAAGAGGAATTAAAATTTTTCTTCTCTCATTAAGCAGCTAATCACCTACGTAAGCAGAGAAAGACTAGGGTCAAACGTAAAGACCTTTTATTTTGAAAGTTACGCATTTCCTTATCAGTACAATATATCAGTTAAATTATTCAAGCAGATAGATCCAGCCTTAGCTGGGTGACTAGTTTAATCTCGAGCCATCGTGGCGTAGATGCCAGAACGTGAGACTCCTAGTCAATAGGTCCGATAGTCAAATCGGGAACAGTTAAATAGTTTTTTTGTTCGATTTTTTTGCTGCTTAATATTGGCAATTTAATAGAATCTGTAGCTGCTTTATTGATGCCTACTCTGTACGCTAGCGAACATCTAGTGTTTTAGGACGAACTTTTTTTCTAACATAACTCGCAGTTAAAATTCTTCATTAAATGTGTTTACTTAAATGTGTTGAGAAACGCTGCGAATCATCCTGTTAATGCGAATCACCCGGTTTGCCTCTTCATCTTAAGGGTTGCCACGCGGTCAGGGGCATGTCAAGGCGAATAAAAACTTGTCAGGGCCGTGTCAGAGCGAGCAAAGTTGTGTCAGGGCCAGGAGCGTGAAAGCGTTGCTGGCCTTAAGGTTTTTTATCAGTCTAAATTTAATTGTTTCTTAAGTGCTAGCCTGTAATTTTTTCATGGGTATGAGTCGCGAACGTTCAGTCAAGGGAAGATGTAGAAGATGTAAGTTCAATGAAGACTGGCTTCAAGATGGTGATTTAGATAGTGGGTTGCTAAATCAACAACTGAACACGAGTTCAGTTGTGTTCTTTGTAAGAAATCATATACGCTGGGCAACATGGGTGTCAAAGTACTCCGCTCCCATGCAGGGCGGAGCAAATTGCACGCAGAGCTGGTCGCGCTTAAAATGCAAGTTCTTAAATTGGAAGAACATGTTGAAGATGACCAAGTCGTAAGTGGCCGTGTAGTTGAGCGGATGACACGAGTGAACTTTTCAAAAAGATGTTTTTTTCTGACAGTGAAGTTGCGGGTGGATATTCATGTGGGAGAACGAAGGCCACATACATTGTGAAGTTTGTACTCAGTGGTATCTTTAAGAATCAGATGTTATTAGCAGCCACAAGAGCAAAGATAAAGAGAATTACGGACGAAGTCAAACATTTTGACTAGTGTTGCGGACACGAATGCAAAGGAAGCTGAAAACATGAAGTCATTTAAGCTAATGTTAGAGTCGAATGTTCTCCGGGACTCTGCAAAACGCAGAAAGTCAGAAATTGTGAGTGCCAAGGAAAAACTTGAAAAACTGAAAACAACCATGTAAGAAAAAGTTAATTTGTTATTACTTTAAGGTATCTTATTTCTGTTAATTTAATCTCTTTGACAGCTTTTTTGCAATTTTGAGACTAATTGTCGGGGCGTGAGCTTCAAAGTTGACAGTGCAAAGGTCAGAGCTGTCAGGGCGACAGTTAGTTTATACCGTGTGGCAACTCCGATCTTGTTTTAAAAGTAAAAGAACGAAGTGATTGTTACTTTTATAGAAATTGACGTTTTCAGGAAAAGTCATAATTTTTTTCACGCTAAATTTTGGTTCTACATGATGTTACTTTTGATTATTTGAATTCAAGTCAGTTTTTTTTTTAAAAGGAGGGCAAACCCCGCTATCGAACAGCACACGTGTCAATGTCACGAACAACGAGAGCAAGTGTCTACTAATCGATAAGAAGACTTTTTTCCTGTAAACAACGTTCTTACAAGTTTGTAAGAAATACAAGAAGAGTTAGGTGCAGGCTACTGAAGTGCTCAATTTTTTGAAAATTCAATCGAAATTGCCAAGGTTTATATTAGGTAAAATTCAACTTTTTCAATAAAAACTTTTCCGATTTGTGGTTTTGTCCTTTGTAGCTTACAATTATCTGTGACCTTTTTTCGGCTTTATGGGGGGTCGAACCAAGTTTTTTTGGCTTGATTGCCGCGTAGTAAATCCTTATCAATGCTAATTTATTGCTGTTTTTGCACCTCTTTCGAAACAAACGTATATCTTTTTTGTAGATGCAAGTTTTTTTCAAAGATTCGTTTTTTTTTGTTTTTCGTCTCTTTATCCATTCACGTTTTTATTATACAAGGTTAAGTTATATCACAAGTTTTAAAATTGGACTTCATTTTTCTGGTTACCAGCGGAATAAAAAAATTTACCTATTGATTGAGTTTGCTCAAAATTCAAGTCAGTGTTTTTTTCTGTTTCCTTGCGGTCATCGGCTCTTTTCCAACAGTCTGTTGGCTTTTTAAAACGTTGCTGGATCACGAGGCACCTGAACGATAACACGAGATTTCTAGTATAAAGTTCATATCGGTTTCTCGAGTTTTCGAGGCACTTTGAGGTCGCGCCTGCACCAAAACGGTTTGCAATTGAGTTCTGTCGCCTAAATGGTTTTAAAATCCGCTCTCAATCAAATAATACAAGTTAGTCTTTAGAACGCTGAAGAAGGCGTGAATTTGACTCGAAAATGGCAAAAAAAGTTCTGTTAGATCTCGCTAACTATCCGCCCCCCTTTTGCAAAAGAGGGGGGAGACTCGTTACTAGGTACAAAATTTACATATGCTGCTTAACCATTGACTTGTTTTGTTATAGGGGTGGAAATTCGTTATTAGGCAACCTAGGGGGGGGGGGGGGGGATAGTTCCTGAGATCCGTTTTGTTACCTAATTGTCAACGAGCAGAGTACGTTTAGCAGCATCCTACAACAATTTTATGTTGAGGTTTTGATCAAAGCTTCACATTTTTTCCAATACGCTCCGCCCTCAAATTCAGAAGTTCAGAATATGTTGCCGTCCAGATGTTTTAATGAAAGTGAAAATTTTTTTAAATGTAAAATATCCAAAGGGTTAAATTCGTGAGAGAGATTCATACACCCCTGAATTTAAATATTATTCAATGAAAATTAAAGAAAAATAGGTAAAAATAAATCATGTCTTCAGAAATCTTTACTGGGTGACTGCCGAGCAACTTGAATGTCCATTGACGCCTCAGACGATAGCGCGCGATAATGAAGGCGTCCGAAATCCCCTCGACAAAGCCATGGCTTCGCTGATGCTAATCCATACCAAGAAAACTCCACGAGAGAAACTGATGTCAATTGACGATGCCTGCATCGATTTAAACATTGCACTGCAGAAGGCCCTATCACGCCCTGTCTCAGCTGATGATTTTCTGCCCTCATTTGTGTGGATAATGTTGACGAGTAAACCGCCTCAGTTGACAACGAATGCGACCTTCATAGACACTCTAGCACACCCCCAGAGCGTGACTCAAGGCCAGTCGGCCTACAACTTCAACACATTCCAAGTGGCCTTACATTATATATCCAAAGAAATGAATTCAGTCTCTCTGAAGGTTGGTGGCCCTTTTTTTGTTAAGTAGGTTGTAATCAACCGAAGTCACTTTTGATTGAAAAGACACCACGTTCTCCTGAAAACTGAATTCCAATATATCTATGATTTTATATCATGTTCGAATGCAGCTCATGATAGCGCTCGAATATGATTTGATAACTTTTGATGTGCATCTTGGTTTGTTTAGTTAGTAAAGACCTCAATGACTCATTGTTTGCGTTTAGGTACCCGAAGAGGATTTTGAGAAGTTGATGCGGGGAGAAGTCACCCGTAAAATAATGTTCAACGACATGCTTAAAAATCTGGAGGTCAAACAAGCTCAACTGGATGTGTTGCAAACTAGAAATGAACAACTAATGGAAGACGTGAAAAGTTTGACCAGTTCCATCTCCGTTTTCAGAACGTCAATGAAGAAAACTTGCAGCGAAGTTCTTTTGTCAGTTGATAGAAGTGCGTGCATCGATGGTGGAACCAATCAAGAGACTTTGAATAAATTGATTGGCGATTTTGACTACCTTGCCAAGCCTTCTATTGATCAGATTTTGGATCCGTTTGGACCTATAAACCAAGAACTGGCCTCGCCCTTGGTTCCAATGAGTTTAAACACAATGCAAACTGCTAGCCATGAAAATGTGTCAAATTCGGGTAATCAAAACTATTTGGGCTTCGATTTGAACTGTAATGTAATGAACAGTAATAATGCTCAAGCTTCTTCTTTGCCTCCGATGCCTTCAACAAACTCAGACAGTTTGATATAGTTTATTTAAGGGTCTGATTAGCGCATTTAGTGATTATGTATTTTTGAATATGAAATTTGAATCTAATTTTGAAATTGATGCTACAGGATGCTACAGCTAATCATATTTTGTGTATAAGTGAAATTTAAAGGCTATAGGGGACAATTTGCGAATATTTGAATCACATGGTTTAGCCAAGGATCGGAACTATTAAAATAATCGTAGATTACGCTTTTACTACTCAAATCAAATAAATTATGGATTTTTTAAAGGTTCTTTTCGTACCGAAATTTCGACAAAGGTTTTCCATTTTGCTAGGATTTCGCGAGAGCTGCCAAACTTATCTTAGTTTCCAATTTTTTTTATCAATTCTTGTAGACAGCCACCAAATGCATCAATGGCTAGAGCTACAGTTTTTATGCTTTAAAAACTTGATTAGCTTGGTATCAAACGTCAAATTGAATTATATGAGAATGTTGGCATTACTACTCTGGAATTATTATATTTGCGCTATATTTTGTAAATAATCATGTATGTTAGTTATCCTTTGGTCTCGTTTGATTGGTGCTGTTTTTCTGAACTCAATAGCGTTAGATTGGTTGTCTGATTCAGTCAAATTCAATTTTTAATTTTCAATATTCTCTGAATTCATTTAGACATAAATTCATGGAAATGGTATAAGTGTACCCGTTAACCTTCAGCAGCGTGGCCATCACAAGTACGAGTTATTGTTATAAACATCCGATACCTAGAAGTTATCAAAAAACCCTGAAACATTTATGCGAAAAGTGTACACCGTTGGTCGCCGTATCATCGTCTATGCAACCCATAACGCGATAATTTTCACCCACCTGTAACCCGAACCAGAGAAACATGATGAATTGCTCTGCGAAACGGAAGATCGATGACAAAGTAAGTTATCAGTACCTAAGGGCGTGATTAAGTGTCAATGAACGATGATAAGAAACTTTTTAAGCTCGTCCTAGTTAATTTTCAGGAGGAACTTAATTTTCAGCGGTTTGAATTTGAGTTTTACAAAGCTTAATGCAAATAAATTGACTAAAAGTTAGTCAAATTTCGCCGTCTAATAACTGTTGCAAATGGCACGAAAACAGGTAAATGACACCTGAATTCTCAAAAGATGTAAACTTGAGCGCAAAAAATATTTATTGACCCACGTTATAAATTTTTGGCGTTATCTTGAAAAGCTCGTGAAATTAATGAACCTTAAATGAAACTCGAAAGTGAAACTGGGAACGCCAAAAAAAGTTCGTTTATCTCTCGAAAAGATCAAAAACAGTTTCACAAAAAATACAAAAGTTTTTGAAAAAATACAAAAATTGAATCGGAGAACTTTAAAAAAGATTATTTTCTAAGCGTGGTTTCTGATTAAGAACGCAGTCATTATGCCAGGAATGAGCACTTCAAAGATGGTTTAAAATCAATAAAACAATCGGACCTATTTTCTTTCGACGCTGAAATTTTTTTGAATCCGAATCACGTTTGAAAAGGCTTCAGAGTTTTTGAGGAATGAGTTTTCCCCTCAATGAGTTTTCTCTGAGATAGGCAAAGCTTACGAAAAATTAAATTAAATGGGAATTAATATCAAAGGCGGTTTCATGGAGGGGTGCCCTTTCTCAGAGAATTGACCCCTTCACAAAACAAAGGGTACCCTTGTAGGCTTTTTGTAATCTTTATGTCAAAAAAATATTGAACCTCCAATTTTGTAATTCAAATCATTACATGAAACTAACTTGGTTTTTTGCCGGTAATGGACTGAGCTCCTACACAGGCGAATCTAAGGTTTTGTCGAAAGAGTAGTGGTTTTTGAAAAAAACTTTAGGTCAACGCAATAGATTTTCAGGGCGAGGAAAATTCAATTCCTAATTGAAAAAGCTATGATAAAGTAGCACTGAAGGCGCCTGTACCAACAAATTTAGGTGCCGAAAACTGATGTCAAAAAATAAAACCAAATGCTCGGGCCCTTTGATTGGTGAGGGGGTGAAAACCCCGAAGGGTGTACCCTCTAAATATGCCCCTGCTCTTGAGTTTGAAGTATTATATTTTGATAGGTTTTGCACAGGGCCTAGAGAGAAAAATGACTTTATAATCGATTACGTAGTGTTTAAAGAGAGAATAATCAATTACGCAGTGTTTAGGGCTACCATTGTTCTTACTACAACTCTTTTTCATATCAGTTTTGAGCCTGAATTTGAGTTATTGTGCTTTTTTATCGAATATTTTAGAGTTATTTTTCACGCTATGTTGATAAATTGTCGATTAGAAATCGTGAATAAGAATTTGAAAATTTGAATTTAAGCTTTCGAAAAAGCGCGTTGAAAAAACGGACCGTTGTTTGCGTATGAAATACTCTGGGTGTAATTATCAAATTTCCTGGAAGAATAGAAGTTATCAAAAGAACGCTGGAGGATTTAAGCGAAAAAATGCACACCGTTGGTCGCCGTATCATCGTATGTTCAACCCATAACGCAACAATTTATCACCCAGTTGTAATACGAACGAACCAGTGAAAAAATGACGACTTGCACTGCAAAATGGAAGATTGATGACAAATTAGGTTATCTAAGTATCTCTAGGCCTGATTAAATGTCAATGAGCGATGTAAAGACAGTTTAGGGGTTGCCCTAGTTTTTTTTCAGGAGAAATAAAAAAATTTTTCTATCAAATTTAGTGTATCGCAGTTTGAGTATGAGTCTTATAAAGTTCATTGCAAATAAATTGACTTGAAGTCAGTCAACTTTTGCCTTCTAATAACTATTGAAAATTGCACGAAAAAAGGTAAACGACAACTGAAATCTCAAAAAGGATAAACCTAAAGGGTTTTATGAAACTCTAAAGTTCTGAGAGGTAAGGACGACCGGTGGTTGGAAAGGCAGAAAAAAAACAGCAAAAGCATAGTCGAAACAAAACCAAATACACATAAAAACACTTAAAGTCAGAACAGATGTACTTAAAAATATATATACGTGAAATTTTGTCCCAAATTGTCAGTGGGAGGCTCAATCAATCAATAAGAATCATAGTTCGAAGCTCTTGACTAAAAATTTTTCCTAATTCCTGTACTATTAATTTTACAAGCTCTTATGTGGGGAAGTGCAAAATTATATATTTGAATAAGGGAAGCCGGTTACGTGAAAATAGAACTGAATGTTTCGGTCATATTCATGAAAACTACAATTAAAGATAATTCGAATTATTAAGTTCTTCAAATTAGTGTCTTATTTTGTACCTGGTGTGCTGATTACACAAGCAAATCTATAGAAAACGAAAATGTAATCGTTTCTAATTTACACGATGTACTTGAGTCTTTCTTGCTTTGAACTTTGATTTGATTATAAATTAGTTGGTTGCACGTGTTTGGTAATTCATTTTTGTATTTTTTTGAGTTTTGGTTTTCAATTTCTTTCCCGGAGTTTTCCTGATTGCATGTGAAAAGTTGAAGTCATCTAAGATGGTTGTCAATTGTCAAATTGGCATATAACACTCGGCCTCACTTTGCAGTTGCAAAATAAATTAAGAAAAAAGGGGTGATGCAGTTCCTACTTATAAAACTTAAAACGCTGGCTTAACGGTTGTTTAAGTGTCAGTTGAAGTTATCGGCTATGGTTGTTGGCGCAAGGCTGCTTTGGGGTGAGGCTCTCATTGTCGTGAATCTTCGTTTGCAGGTTAATTGCAATAATCCGGACTAACAGGTGCTAGTCTAATGGCTGGTATTGACGCAATTTTGTCTCTTATTTTGACGAAGTAAACGCGGATCTGATCATCATCGGTTGGTTTGTTTCTTGTAATCCGTCCAATTGGCCAGAGTCCTCGTGGCGTCATATCCTGAAGAATCCAGACAATTTTTCCTATTTTGATAGGCGGCGTCTTCTTTGTCCATCGTTGTCTTGGCAGTAGTGTTGGGAGAAACTCCTTCATCAAGCGTTTCCAAATATGGGTTGCGAGTTGTTGGGCGAATTTCCATTGTCGACTGAGTGTTGAGGGCTGTTGGGTTTGTAGAGGTGGCATGCTGGCATGCGCTCTCCCGAGAAAAAAATGATTTGGTGTGAGGGCTTCAACATCATCGGGCGATGCTGAAACTGTAGTGATGGGTCTTGCGTTCATGAAGTGTTCAACTTCGCAAAAGACGGTGTTGAATATGTCGTCTGTTAGAATCTGGCTTCCTATGATGGCATAGAACGAGTCTTTGACTGATCTTATGAGTCGTTCCCATACACCTCCCAAATGAGGAGCATAGGCAGGGTTGAAGGTCAATTCAATCTGATGGTTGGCGTAGAATTGTCGTGTAACATCGGCGTCGAAGTGTCTGCTGAGTTCTTTTTCGGCTGCGGTGAAATTTGTACCATTATCAGAAACAATTTTCACTGGTTGTCCTCTGCGAGCGAACAATCGTCGTAAGGTATTGATGAAGGCGTCGGCTGATTGATCCTGGCACATCTCAAGATGTACGGCTCGTGTTGTTAGGCAAGTCATTATAACGACGTAGCGTTTGTTGTAGTTTCCTGCGGTTTTCGAAGCAAACGATCCAAAGAGATCTAATCCTGTTTGTTGAAACGGGAAGGGTTTATCATCTGGAAATCTGAAGGCGGGTAGGGGCGCAAGTTCCGGCTGTAGTCCAGTTGCCTGTTGTCGTCGGCAGTCGTAACAGTTTTTTATGATCTTGTCAATATGTGCGCGAAAACAGAGAATCCAATACTCGTTTTGAAGAATATTTTTCAAGTGCTGGCGTGGCGAATGCTGGTTGTCTTTGCGGGTTTGTCCTTTAAAGAGGTGAACTGCTGGGTGGTTTCCATTAAGGATAATCGTGTGTTTTATGCAATAGTCCAATTGAGATTTCTCGAGGCGTCCACGTGCTCGCAAGAGTCCGTCTTCGTCTAGAAATGGTGATAGGTGTCGAAGTCTGCTAGTTGTGTTGATTCGTTTATTTTGTGTCAATGCGTTGACCTCTGGTTTGAAGCAGTCTCGTTGCGTCTGCTTGAAGATAAAATTCTTTGCGGCAATCATGTTGTTGCTTGTCAGTTCGGTGGTCGGGCTTTCGTTGCGGGACTGTAGTCCTTTATCTTTAAAAATCCTGGCGGCACGCATCACTTATGCAGTTGTTTTGAGAATTCTTGTCCATTTGGAGAATCTGCTGTAACCGATGAAGCTGTGTTCTGTCTTTTTCGTGGAAGCTTGAAAAGCTAGCATTGGGGTTGTTGCTATTTCATCTATTTGTCCAGTTTGATCGTTGAGTTGCAAGGTATCCGTATTGGCGTCGATTAACTGTAGCTTTGGCCAGTTGCATTCTGGTTCACATGAATTTTGGTCCGGTGAACCATCTTGACTTGTTACTGAATTCTGATAGGGGTATACCGAGGGTTCCGTCGTCTGCTGGGTTTAGGGGTCCTGGGCAATGATTCCATTGACTCGCTTGGGTGCTTTCTAAAATTTCTGCAACTCTGTGAGCCACAAAAATTTGTTGTCGTTTATCAGATCCCTGTATACATTGAAGCGCTGTTGTGCTGTCTGTCCACATATGCGTAGAGTTGATGTCAATCCTTTGTTCTCTGCGAATGAACTTTGCGAGGCGAGCACCAAAAACTGCGGCTTGTAGTTCCAATTTAGTTATTGTGTGTTGTTTTAGAGGAGCCACTCGAGCTTTTCCTAGAACAAAGGCGCTGCAGATTTGCCGAGTGGCACTGTTGCTGTATACAAAATAAGCGACTGCTGCTAGGGCGCTGTAAGAGGCATCTGAAAAAACATGAAGAGCGATGTTGTCGTAGCTGTATCCAAAATAGTGTCGGGGTATTTCCACTGTCTGTAGACCGTTTCTATCGTCAAGAAGCTCGAACAGTTCAGGTATCATTTCTCGTGTAATTTGGTCGTCCCACTTCATTCCTTTTCTCCAAATTGCTTGCTGGATTATTCGTAGTCGAATCGTAATAGGTGCTGCTATTCCAATTGGGTCAAAGATTGAGAAAGCTGCGCGAAGTAGGTTCCGTTGTGTAGGTTTCTTCTGGGCGAGTTCGTGTAGTTTGTCAGTAGTGAAGCTGAGTGTATCGTTACTTACTCTCCATCGTATTCCGAGAATTCGCTTGAAGATTTTGGGGTCCTTGATTTCGTCTATGGCGATGGATCTATGTTCCTCTGGTATTGTTTGCAGAATTTTATGATCCGTAGTGATCCACTTCGTCAGCTTGAAGCTTCCTTGTTGTAGTACGTGTCGAAGGTCTTCTATGATTTTCACTGCGGTGTCGATGTCGTCGGTGGCTTCGAAGAAGTCGTCCATGTAGAAGTTCTCGTAGACAAGTTTTTTGATGTGGGGATGGCTTTCAGCATTGTCGTCTGCGCAAGTTCTTAATGCGTAAATTGCACAAGTAGGAGAACATTTGGCTCCAAAGACAAATCGAGTGTACTCAAAAAATTCGGGTTCTTCCACTCCCCAGAGGAAACGAAGAAATTTTCTGTCTTCGGGGTTAACAGAAACCTGCATATACATCCCTTCAAAGTCGGCAGTGATGTGATGCTTTCCTTTGCGAAATCGGGTAATTACTCCTAGTAGATTGCAGAGCAAGTCAGGTCCAGTGAGAAGCATATCATTCAGACAAACTCCTTTAAATTTGGATTTGGCATTGGAAACACGGCGAAGTTTTCCTGGCTTGTTTGGGTTGATTACGCCATGTTCAGGTAAAATCCATCCTGTCGAAGGTATTTAGTCTGGCTCTAATTTCCGTATGTAGTGCTTGCTGAGATCCTGGTCAATTGTATTCTGGTAGAGAGCCAACTTTTTTGAATTCTTGATAAGTTGTATTTTCATCCGGTTGTATTGGGCAATTGCTGCTTTATAGTTGTTGGGAAGATTTGCATTTGGTTTCCACAGAAGTCCAAGTTGATAGCGGTTGTCGTATAATGATATGGTTTTCCGAAGTGTTTGCATAGCGTGTCTTTCATCCGATGACATCAATATTTCAGGTGATGTGGCATAGGTTTCCATTCGCCAGAATGAGGCGAGAAGATCCGAGATTTGTGTGTCGTCAGTTGATATCTGTATTGGGGTGGCTGTTGCTTGGTGGATTGAGAAGTATCCAATGTCGTTGTTCGGTCCTGCTATTGTCCATCCTAGGGCTGTAAGGACTGCTCAAGGAACATTTTGATTTCCTTTGATGATGGTCTTCGGGCTGATGATGTCAATATTGTCCGTTCCAATCACTAGGGCTACGTCGTTGTTGCTGAAGTCCGGAAAACATATATGCTTAAGGTGGGCGTATTGGCTGCAGATGTCGTTCAATTTTTTGGGCTCGGCTGCATTCAAGTTCTGATTAAAACATTAGTTAGTTCAAACGCTAAAGTGTTATTTCCCAATGAATGAACTGTAATATCCACTGTCTTACCCTCTATCGTTTGCGAGTTGGAGAAATCTCCAATGAGCAGTTGTTCCTGATGGTTAGTTTCCTCCAGTTGAAGATATGCTGCTGTCGGTTGCGATATGTAGCTTTTTGTACTTCCTGTATCAAGAAAAGCGTATACATTAAGGTATATGTTGCGGTGTCGTAATGTTACTGGTAAAAGTAGCAGCAGTGAGCTGTTGATTCTTGATATCTTCTTTTGGCTGGCAAGATGGTTGACTTGATTCGGTCGCTGGTTTGGATTAAACTTCGCTGTTCTTTGTGTTCGTTGTTCGTCGTGTAGAGTTGTGTGATGATGCTGATTGCATTTGCTTCATGTGTGCTTTGATGGGCAGTCTTTTACTTGATGTTGGCCAAGGCAGTTGAAACAAAGTTTCTTTTCAGAAACGAGTCTCTTCTTCTCTTCCAAAGGTGAATTCTGATACATGCTGCAGTATGCTGGGTGGTGAGTTTGTCCGTCGAAGGGACATGGGGTTCGGGTATTCGCACTCCAATTTTTAGAAGCCTTCTGTGAAGGCCGGTTGGTTGATGGTCGAGATCCGTTGGCGTGTCGAAGTCTTGGGGCTATTTGTTGTCAATCGTTCAAGTCCAGGGTCATTTGCTGCAGTTGCATAGGTGGTAAGTGATCGCATGCTAATGCAAACTGTCTGATCCAGTCGTTGAAGGTGATAAGATTAGGCTGGTCGATGTTCTGGGCGGTGATGTACTGTGTCCATTGAAGCTGCTGAGGGTGATGCAATTTGCTGACGGCAAATTGAACGTATATTGTAGAGTTAAAATCGTCTTTGAACCCAAGCGTCCGAAATGTTTCCACCATGTTACTGATCAATGTGGAAAATTTCATGTACGAATCCCTGCGATGAGTTGATGGTTGCTTGAAGCTCTGTAGTCTGTTGACGAAGTCAGTGATGATGATGTCGGGTCGTCCGTATTGTCGTCGTAGTTCGTGGAGGGCAGCGTTGTACATAGTGCTATTGCAGGAGTAGCCACAAATAGCTTGATTTGCTTTTCCAGTCGTTAAAGTCTGCAGATGAGTCATCTTTTCGGCGTCCTAGATGGTTCGATTGCGGATTGTTGCTTCAAAGAGTCCGAACCACATGCTCCACTTCATGGGGTTTCCGTCGAAAGGCTCGATTTTTACTTTTGGGGCTTTTGGGGGCCTAGTCATAAGACTGTAGTTTGCTCGTGACTATCCGTTACTTGATGTCTGAGATACTGCTGCTGGAATGAACTGCTGTTCTGTAACTATGTTGAAGCTGAGGTTTGCGTTGGTGGTATCGTGTTCTGTTTGTTGAAGTGGTGGTCTGTCTATTTCGAAACCTGTCTGGGGGACTTGCTGCTGAGTATCTCGGCTATCTGAAAAGTTTTGGTCCTCTACTGTTTGCTGAACTAATGATCTGGGCTGATGGCTGCTGTTGGATAATGTTGACGTCTGTCTAGAGTGCCGATCTAGTATTGTCTGTTGTTGCACTGAATCAGCTGTGTGGGGGGCTTGAACTGTGGTGGCATTAGTGTTCTGCTGTTGTGGAGTTGTCTCTGCTGTATTTTCTTGTAGCATCTGTCTAAAGTCATCCATGTCGTCGTGTTCGTCTTGTATATCAGTGAAGCGGTTGATGAGATCCTCCGCAGTGGCGTGCTCAGTCGGGTGGTCTACAAGGTACGTAGTGGCGTCATCCAAATTGCTGAGAATTTTCTTCATTTCGGTTTCTGAGTCAGCTATGTTGTAGTTTGTATTGATGTCACTGATGGCTTTTCGTACTCGTCTGAAGAGGCGCTCTAGTTGGGCGACGAGAAGATTTCTCTGGGGGAGAGTGGTTTTGTTGGGGATGGCTAGTTTGTCGTAGTTTATTGTTGCAGTTGTTGTAGATGTCGTATCCAGTCGTAGTTTTGACCTACTTTGTTAGTTCCTGTCCTAGGTAGCTAGACCTAAAATTAAAAAGGAACGAAGCAAAAGAACAATGGTGCGGTAAATATATTTTCAAATAAGTACAACAAAATAAAATAAGCAATTGAAAGTTACAAATGCTTGATAGTAAGTCGTTCTGATACCTAAACAGGCGGAAAGTAATATAAACAAAACGTAAAATTAACGTCCCTATACCAAAGTTCAGCTATGGGGGTCCAAATTGTTAAACCGATTTTTTTTTAAATCTTAAGCAACTGCAAAATGAGTAATCCTTGGTTGGCACTAAAGACAAACTGTGCTTCCAGCCTGGTCAGGGGGTAGAGCAAGGTTGCGTTTTCTGGCAATTTAGCTGAGTGCCATATAGAAAACGAAAATGTAATCGTTTCTAATTTACACGATGTACTTGAGTCTTTCTTGCTTTGAACTTTGATTTGATTATAAATTAGTTGGTTGCACGTGTTTGGTAATTCAGTTTTGTATTTTTTTGAGTTTTGGTTTTTAATTTCTTTCCCGGAGTTTTCCTGATTGCATGTGAAAAGTTGAAGTCATCTAAGATGGTTGTCAATTCTCAAATTGGCATATAACAAAAGCTTTACGAAGTATTTTTTCTGACTCAATTCGCAAATAAAAATACTCATTTGGTGGCATTTTTGATATGTTTCAAGTTAATCATTCCTAAGCTTGTTTAAGCATGAGCATTTTAAAGCCATTGATACTGCTTCGTTTTTGGTTTTAGTTTGAACATTGAATGCACAAATCTCAATCAAGAGAACAAATTATGGGGATCTCCCCTT